GAGGACAGCCTGGTCTACACAGCAAGTTCCAGACCAGCTAGACCTACATAATGAAACCTCTGGCTCCAAATACTGCGACTTTAAGATTTATTTTTTATATGTATATTTGTTTTGCCTACATGTATAATGTGAAGTACATGTATATTATGTATGTAAAGCCCTAATGACTGAGCCATCTTCCTAGCTCCTTACATAAGTTTCAAACATAGCATTTTATACCAGTATTTCTTTAGAGAAAAGAACGTCTATATTAGACTAATCCCACTTGTGATAGTTGGAATGAGAAATGTCCTCATAGGCTCTGGCATTTGAGCACAGGGTCCCCAGTTGGTGGTGCTGTTTGGGGAGGTCATGGAAACTTTAGGAGGTTCAGCTTGCTGGAAAAGTCCATCAGTGGAGGTGGGCTATGAGCCTATATAGCCTTACCTCATTTCCTGTTCATTTTCTCTGCTTCCTATGTGTAGAAGAAAATGTGATCAGCCACCTTCCAGCTCCTGCCACCAGGCCATTCATTCCCCACCACAATGGACTTTATCCCTCTAGAATCTTAAGTCAAAATAAACCCTTTCTCTAAACTGCTTTTGGTCATGGTGTTGAATCACAGCAACAGCAAAATAACAACCTTAACAGAAATGATTCTTAGCTTGCACAGTATTGTTTTTCTATCAGTAGGATAGGATACTGTTACAATCTGAATGCTGGTGTCTCTTCAAACTTCAAGAGTTAAAAATCCACTCCTCACTGAGAATGGCAGTACACACCAAAAAAGGAATGATAGCCCTCCAGGTCATGGCACTAGGTGAGTGAGGACTCTGGGAGGTGATTTGGCCCTGAGAGTAGAGGCCTCATAAACAGAAGCAGCACTTTTGAAAAGATATGTTTTTAAAGCTATTTGCTTGTGTCATTGTGTGGGAACGTGCATGTGTGAATGAAGTGCTGATGGAGTCCAGAACAGGGCAACGGATCTGGAGCTAGAGTTACAGGCAGTTATTAACTTCCCAACAGAAGTGCTGGGAACTGGATTCCCTCAAAGAGCAGTGCACACTGTGAGTCAGCTTTCCAGGCCCCAGCTACTGCATCTTTATACTGCCTGTGGAAACACAATACAAAAGAGAAGGGCTATCTGTGAAGGGCAGACCTGAGTGTGGAGTCATCATCCTTGGACTTCCAACCTGCAGAAGCTGAGAGATTAACATCTACTGTTTATAAACCACACAGCTACTGTCTTGTGTTACACAGCCTTGGTCAGACTAAGAGACTGCAGGAACACATGAAATGATCCATTTGATTCTTGTTTGAATAGCCTTGGGCCCTATGATAGTTAATTTTACCATCTTGCTAAGGTTAAGAGCCACCATAGAAACTAATCTGTGGGCCTTTCTGTGAAGAATTATCTATCTATATTATGTAAACTGAGGTGGGAAGATCCACCCTAAATGTGGGCAGCATCAGGCCATGCTAGGATGGCAGGTTGAATGAAAGGAGAAACAGCCTAGATGCAAAGTCACCAGTACTCTCACCATCCGGCCCCATGGCATCTGTGCCCAGATGGACTGTACCATTCAACTGTGAGCCAAAATAAACTCTTGCCTTCTTACATTTCCCTTTCAGGTATTTTTGTCAGAGCACTAAGACAGCAAATGATGCAGCTCTACTAATGGACTACCAACATGTACATAAGTAAGCCAGAATATCCAACTGGTTTCAGGCTTGAGTGGGATTAGGGTCATATTGACCAAAAATTATTTAGCCTACTTCTTATCTTCCTGCTAGATTTTTCTTAACTTTTCCTTTTTATAAGAATTTCAGGCTTATAAAAATGCATAAATAGTCGGGCGGTGGTGGCACATGCCTTTAATCCCAATACTTGGGAGGCAGAGGCAGGCGGATCTCTGTGAGTTCGAGGCCAGTCTGGTCTACAAGAGCTAGTTCCAGGACAACCACCAAAGCCACAGAGAAACCCTGTCTTGAGAAAACAACAACAACAAAAAAATGCATAAATAGGAAAATATCGTATAATACATTCATGATTCATGGAGTCACAATGTATGCCACACTTCCTCTGTCCTCTCTGATCTGGCCTATCTTTGCATTGTAGTTGACTAAAAGCCCATTTTCAACTTTGATTACAGGCTTCATCCATATGGGACTAACTGACCACTCTTTCCTGTTGGCACAAATTCACCAAAGTGTCACAGGGGACTGAACAGGCAACCACTAAAATGATACTGGGAGTGGTACTGCTGCCCTGTGTTGGGAGAGACAATTAAACAAAGATTCTGGGACTGAGCTTGAATACCAGGTCCAAAAGAGCTGATCAAACCAAAGCGGAGTCAGTCATGGTAAGTGCCAGACAGGGCAAGAGAAGGTGTAAAAGAAGCCGAAAGGTCCCACAGGTAAAAGCAGATTCCAGTCCACCTAAGCTAGCCAAATAAGGAAATCCTAAGTAAATAAATAAATAAGTAAAAGTTGAGCTATGGTTCTTCTTGTGTTCCCTTCTTAGGAAGCCAAGTCCTGCTCTTACTGCCTGTATAAAGTGAGGACATGACCACTCCAGGGTATGGCTGAGGAGGTTTTTGTTTTTTTGTTTGTTAGTTTTTGTAGATATGAGGGAAAGTACAGCCAGAGGCATCTGGAAGAGTCCAGAGCAAGGGAAATGGTATATTGAACTTGGTCAGTAGAGTGGACCAGGCCATGAGAGGAGGAGGAGAGGGGAAAGAGAAAGACAAAAGAGAGGACCAAGAAAGAGAGGCAAGAGGGGCCATGAGGACCAACAGAACTCATGGCCAAAATGACAGGGTTACATAGAAATAAGAAGCTGGGGTAACAGCTGGAGAAGTTCAGGGAAGGGGGTGGGGTGAGAAATACTAAGAGGAGCCACAGGTACTGACTGAGCCTGGAGGCCAGCAGGCACTTTGGTATGTTAATAGGCACCATTTAGCCCTTTGTCTGAGTTTCTTTTGCACCTGACACTGCTTAGTGACAGCTCTCAGGAGGTTTAGAGAAAGCTACCTCAATCCACATATTCCCAATAATAGCTAATTACTTGTAATTTAAACATTTTTTTTTTTAAAAGATAGGGTCTCTATGCAGTCAAAAGTGGCTTCCAATTTCCAGTCCTTGTCCCTCAGGTGTATACCACCACACTCGACAATTTTATCTTTTGACAGAAGCAAAAGGAGACAATAAAAACAAATTCCCTCTGAAGCAATGGTTCTCAATCCGTGGGCCGTGACCCCTTTTCGGGTCGTGACCCTTTCACAGGGGTCGCCTAAGAGCATCAGAAAACACAGATTTTTTCATTACAATTCATAACAGTAGCAAAATTACACTTCTGAAGTAGCAATGAAAATAATTTTACGGTTGGGGGGTCACCAAAACATGAGGGACTGTATTAAAGGGTCGCAGCATTAGGAAGGTTGAGAGAACCTTCAGAAGGCTAGCAAAATCAGGCCGAGAGAGCATTCCCACTTCCTAAAGAGGAAAGGGACACTGCCTAATAAGTCATCAGTGTCTCTCAGCCAGTTAGGAAAAAAACAAAACAAAAACAAAAACAAAAACAACTCCCTAAAGTCCATTCTAATCCCCAAGCATACTCCTCAATTCTAGGTTGAGTCCCTCTAATTTTTAGTGCCGTGTTTTTATTTAGCTCGTGAAAGGATTATGGTCTTCATGGTGGAACAAAGGGATGGACTACGGGTAGAAGAATTATGTAAATTTGGTTCATATTTTAAAAAATAAGGTGAAGGACTGACTGAGGTGGCACGCCCAGTAATCCCAGCACTCGGAGAGACTGAGGCAAGAAGACTGCTAAGAGTTGTGGGCTAGAAAACAAGGCCCTGTCTCAAAACAAAAAAAGAAAAAAATCCAGGGGCTATAGAGATGGCTCAGTGGTTAAGGACATTTGCTCTGGCAGAGGACATGGATTTGGTCCCCGACACCCACATGGTGGCTCCTAACCACATATAAATCCTGCTCCTGGGGTCCTGACGCCCTCCTCCGGATGTTCACTGGCAGGCGCCAGGCCAGGCACGCACGTGGTGCACATATGTACACTGCACGCAAAACACTCACACACGTAACATACATAGGTATCAAAAAGAAATAAAAGAAAACGAAAGCCCAGTTTAACCAAAGAAGTTGCTTTTAATGTCTAGTGCTTAGGGCGACTAGAGGAGACCTTTGCCATCAGACCAGCTGGCCCTTGCAGGCTGGGATCCTCCGGCCCCCTCCCCCCTCCCGGCAGCCCTTGCGCGGGGAGGCGGGCCCGCATCTGGCTCGCCCACTCTCCGAATTGTCTTTGGCGGGAGTTTTGAAGAGCCGGGCGCACGCAGAGGCTCCAGAAGCCGGCTTCCTGCTCCACGGTGCGGGGCTGGGTGGGGGTCCACGAGTGGGTGTGTGTGGCTGAGAGCACAGGGTCCCCCTATAGGGTCACCGGAGGGCGCGGGCCCAGCCCGCAGACGCAGCGCTGATCAGCGATCGCCCTG